GACGACGACATGATACTGGCTTTTGCTTCAGAGGACATGCTAAACATGCTCCACAGTGACGACAAGTGGTATATGCATGGACCTTTCTATGTTGCACCAGGACATCCCACAGGTGCAGACCCATGTCAGGAGAGCAGCTGCCCTTCCACTACTTCCACGGGACATGGTGCAGAACACAAGTTTGCAAAGTGATTGTCAGTTGTGTGTAATTGTGAAACAAGTAAAAGACTGTAAAACCAGTGAAAGACTGTAAAACCAGTGAAAGACTGTAAAACCTATCAGTTTTTCATGATAAATCCATGTCTCAATGTAAAGTCTGAGAATTCTCAGAATTAATAAAGATGTCCTACCAACCAACACTTGTCATTTTTTTAAACTTCTGTAGGCAGAGTGGGAAGACACCATATAATTAACCAGCTAACTAGTCAAGTTCATTTTAGCAGGGGTAGAACAGGTCAGATCGGTGTATTCACTTCCTGATCACTGGGCCGTATCATGTTGTTTTAACCTGTAGGCAGTATGGGATTAATGACGTAAGCTGTTCCTGATTGTGTTGGGGCGGATACACCGAAGTCCCGGAATGGATTGAGGAGTGGATACACCGAAGTCCCGGAATGGATTGAGGAGTGGTCACGGCAGTCTGAAGTGACCTTGTCGAAAATACAGGAAGTAATGCAAAACGGTTTCTATGGTTTACTCCATTCTCCACTATCAGTAAATATGCTTGAGTAACGTACAAAGCAATGTTTAAACTGTTGAAACCTGTGTATTTACAAAGTACGAGTAAGCTTTGATTCAGAATACATATGCTTGATTGTCATCGACAACTGCATTAAGACATGTTTAACTTTGCTAACGGATGCTATTGTAAACATAATCTATCTACGATTTATATGTGAAATATACTAATAATCAGTTTGATGACATAATCAACCACTTTGGAAGAAGTGATTCCCAAATAAACTGATGTAAGAGAGAAAGTACACACCTGATGAAGTAACATCAAGTTCTATGGATAGTCAACTTCTTTATTGCAATCAGTGCGACGTTTCGGTGTAGGTAGGTAAAATGCCTCTCAAGCAACTTACACACCTGATGTTTTAGGAACATTTCCGAAAAAACAAATTAATATTTTGAACAATGTTTTGATTGTGAGTTGTCAGACACATTGTAAAACCCACCACAGATAGCCATTTGCAACGGTGTTATCATCTACTCTTAAGGTATCCGCAAGAGGAAAAAGTAATGGCTGTCAAACATGAAGGAACAATATACTTGAAACTGGACGAAGTTAAATATAGCCCCTCCATATAGACTGGCTTTCTGTGTTAGTGAATGGTCACGATTTGCATGAAAACGGTCTTGGTGCTGATTAGGCTGTAAACAAAAGAAAAGGTCTTATATCAGGGACACCCTGCAGTGGTTGGCAGTTTCCTTTAAACGGCTCCACGTTTTTAAAATAAGAAAAGCCCGATTGAATCACTTAGCTGAGACGGAAATGTCACAATGAAGATTTGAACACAAGCTACTAGATAGACACGCTGCTTCGTGAAAATCCCTTCTATATGATGTTATTTTCTATATGATGAATGTATGCGATTAAGTATTGGAGACAGCAAATTCGTCATGAAGGATTGATGAGCATCACGACGCCGAGAAGGTGCGAAGTGTGCCGAGCCGAGCTGTCGGACATCAATGACAGTAAGGTAGGCGGGTTTAACGGCGCGGTGACAATGTGTAATGTAAATCCAGTCTGTCAACTATCCATACAGAAATATGCCACAGCTGGAGTCTAACTGATGGATAAATGCATCAACTCCTCATCATTTGCATCATAATCAAATGGGATGGAATATGATACCAAACTGACTCCTGAAACGTGACGACTGCTCTTTGTCGCCATAACAAGGTTGAAATTCATTTCCAATAATGACGAGTGGTCTTAACTCTCTGGTACAAGGTAAATCTTTCAACATCATCGCGTTCTCACCATATCACCTTACGAAAAAGCATTAAGAAAAATACAAACGCAAGAATGCAACCAATGGAGATTTGAAGCTCGCGTCGTATCATGTGTATCCAGACAGAAATTGAAAAATTAACACTAAAACTCGAACGTTCAAGCTTCAATATTCCATGCATTTTATTTGTATTATTGAACATTACCAGGCACACACTGGTATCAGTTTGTTGAAAATCTTAATGTCTACGTCTCGTTATCCTGTGATCAACATAGGTATCCATATTGCATGGTAAGATGTCAAATACACCGGACCTACACCTGTATATATAATATAATTATAATGTTTGAAGGAAGGAACGGGTATACTGGAATACATGGAGATTATTATCCGAATGTGTTTCAAAATCATTAATATCATATATTACGAATAAAAACTGTTTTATGCGAGAAAGGTATACTGGAATGCATGTACGTACTTTAATGTACAGAAGATGTATTTGCAAATGGCAAACATGAGTGCAGAATACCGTCAATCAATCAATCAATCAATCAATCAATCGAGTGACTACTGTAACAGCCTCTATGTAGGACTCCCTGATGTCCTCCTCGACAAACTTCAGAAGGTGCAAAATACGGCAGCACGAATCGTGACCCTCACCTCCAAGAAATCCCACATCACTCCTGTTCTTATAAATCTCCTCTGGCTTCCAATAAGAGCAAGGATCCAGTTCAAAGTTCTCTCTCTGACATAGATGAGCAGTTGATTGCTAAAACAACAGGTCACAGGAGTAACGCCATTCGCAACTACAAGCGTGTCTGTACTGAACAAGAGGCGACTATGAGCAGGATAGTGCAAGGGAAACCAAGAAAGCGACGAAGTGAATCGGCATCCATGTCATCCAGTTCATGCGAGAAATCTAGAGCTTTACAAAAGACCAGTACCGATGGTATCAACATCTCTGTCAACGTTACGGTCGCAAAATGAAAGTTTGTGTATGTTCTGTGAATAAATACATTCTGCAGTATGCATTGCTGTTATTTCATTTATTGTTCCATTAAACAATGACTGTTTTGTTTCAGTCCGTAGTCTAACCAACCCAGATATTAGACTACGACCGGGACTACTTTTTAAATGTTTGCTTTCATGTTGGAATCTGGAATAATTACGCAATGCTGTTATTTTTTCTATTGTTCCATAAGACCTGTTCAACAATCTGCGCCTAGTTTTGGTTGGATGATTGTAATTGGCAAACGCTGATGTGAAGTAAAGCTGGTCAGATTCCAACATGAAAGCAAACATTTAAAAAGTAGTCCCGGTCGTAGTCTAACAAATATCTGGGCTGGTTAGACTACGAACTGAAACAAAACAGTCATGGTTTAAAATCTAATTAAGTCAATAGGAACAAGATGGACAAATGAACAAGATGGACAAGCAACCAAACTTCCGAACATACTTGCCGCCACGAGGAGACACAGCATTCCCATTTTCGAGGATCACAATTCAAACTACCCTGAAAAGATCGGGATGTTATTGTAATATTTAGCATAACTAAAAAAACAGGCTTGTCATAACTGTATGGGTGTAAGAGTTTGTTTTCTTATGAATGTTTTTATTGAATACCTGTTTCAGTTTGATTATTACACACATTTTCCTTGATGTCTGCTGTTGCCAAGTTTAATGGGTTATAACGAAAGATTATAATCTCCTTACATCCAATCATATGTGTTTAAGCAGAAAATTGTAACTGTCGTAAGTTTGCAAAATGCTTCATTCTGAATGGTCGGTCAGTGGTTGAAATCACGAAACAAGGAAAAAGTGTTGTCATAATCATTTGGCATTGTGAGATTTTGATAATATCATAAGTACTAGTATGTGTTAAATAATTCCATGTAAGAAAGGCGGTGAGACCAAGTGTGAAGAGAAGGTTAGGGTATCCTTGGTGTCCTGTCTCACCGGCGGTACTCGTCGTACATATATGCAATGTCAATTTATTATTACACGAATTTCGTTTTAAGACAAATGCCTTTACCGTATATCACCTGTATTGTACGACAGTGTCTACCACCGTCATAGACAAAATCAGTATCTATTCTGAGTCTACAACTAACAAATACGTAGCATGGTGTAACGTTTCCCACTGCTAAAATACTCGCATGAACTACTGCAAGCAGGTGTATACAATGTACATAAACACATTCAGCATTCAGCCGGTACTCTGTGGTCAATCTGACTGTCAGTGTTGGGGTTTAGTAGCACAACTGACAACCCCAAGTATCTAAACACCCTACCCACCCGTACCCAGGACAACACCACAGTTTCTAATGGGGATATTCAAGGCGGATGGTCCAATGTAAACATAGCAATCTGGGTCAATACCGTGGAATCCTGGACTATTCACAGCTGGTCTACGACCGAGGTAAATGTGACGAAATATGTTGGGAAAACACGTACATGGGGTCACAATGTGTAACGAGCACACGGGGAAGGAAAAAGCCTCAACTGACTAACCGTTCAGCTTGTTCTTATTGACCTGGGGATTATGAAATATGGTCAATCGTTGTAAAGATAAAGAGGCTGTTAGAAGTTAGCGCTTGGACATGACTGACTGACTGACTGAGTTTGATTTTACGCCGCTTTTAGCAATATTCCAGCAACATCACGGCGGGGGACACCAGAAATGGACTTCACACAATGTACCCATGTGGGGATTCGAACGCGGGTCTTCGGCGTGACGAGCCAACGCTTTAACTACTAGGCTACCCCACCGCCCGCTTGGATATGAAGGTAGCACTTGGATGTATGTTGTGGAAAAAGTCTAGGCTTCAATGACCACGTTGTTTCGACTGCTTTCAGGTCACGGATATATATTGTGTATAGCCTTTGGGCGTTTTGATCGCTCATCTTATCTATCTTTAACTGAAGTTTGATACGTGGTAATTAATTTGATTTCCATTAAGTGTAAAGTTGAGCCAAAATAGTTTGTGTCTTGCAATGAATGTGATAAACCAACATTAATGTTTTATCTCAGACGTTTATTAATATTTTCTTGTAATAAATATGACATGGTGGTGTAAATGACAAAACCAGTTGTTACACAATTTCAGTTATATATTCACAATGTATTAGGCAAGTACATTTGGACGTTTCGTTTCAGGTATATTTGCGCCGTCTTTGGCGCTGCAATTCTCTTTGAAGATTTGTTCCCTCATGCTTGTGAGTCAAATTCCTGAGTTGTCCTGGTTAAGATTCTTAGACTTACTGCGTTCCAGACTTGCATCTCTTTCCGGACAATATATGAAACTGACACACAGGTACAGGCAGAAATATAGTTTATGGTTATGCTAATCTCTCGTCTCGTGTTATCGATTTCTCGTCTCGTGATATCGCTTTCTCGACTCTTAATTTTAAGGCGAGAAAGCGATGGCCCCTAATCATCCACCATAAAAAAACCCTGTATTTTAGACAAAGTTTTGTGATTTCTTTTCATGAAAATTAGACAAAGTGAATTACGACACAAGGAAACTCCTCAGAGATTCCCACAAGCAAAGAAAACAATGAATTATAACACTGACTGCAAATCGTAAACGTAATTAAAAAGTGTTCTTTCTAAAAGTTCACAATATACCCCATCTACGTGCCATACCTTGTTTTCGCGGCTTACATATCAGTTTCATTGGAAAATAAGTATTTGATAAGAGCCATGTGTAAATTTAGACTTTCCCTTCACAATTGTAATGTCATTATTATGTATTAACTGTAAAATGGGCCATAACGCCGTATATCACCGAATAAAGCGACTGTCTGTCTATATCAGGTTCAGCATGAACCAGGATACGGAGGAGGGGGGATCCATAGGTGGTGCTGTAGGCTGTTGAGGAAAGGCACCTTGAGCAGCATATGGAGTCTCTGATGGAGGATGCAGATCCTGGGTCTGAGGCTGTGCTGGAGGATAGTGAGGCTGACCCTTGGATTGTGCTGGAGGATAGTGAGGCTGACCCTTGGATTGTGCTGAAGGATAGTGAGGCTGTCCCTTGGACTGAGGCTGTGCTGGAGGATACAGATCCTGACTGTAGTTCTGAGGCTGGTACTGGCTTGCCGCTTGAACTGGATATGGATTTGGAAGTGGATACTGATGCTGGGACTGAGGCTGATACTGCGCATTCGGTGGGTACGAGTTATACTGCATCGCTGGGTGTGTTGATGGGTCAGCTGGGTGGGCAACGGGTGTGTTGATGTTGGTGACGTTGGTGGTAGGAGGGGTGGCAGCTAGCTGTGTGTTGTTTCTATGGCACCTGTTTCCATTTTTCCTAGAGAACGGACCACGTTTGTAACGGCAAGCACCGCCTACAACGATGCATACAGCAACCACGACTGCAACAACGCCTCCGGCGATGCCCTTAGTTTTAGAGGATGCGTCAGATGGGCCCGGAATACCTACGACGGAAACAAAATTATATGTACCATTATCTGGAGATATGAATTGGTGGGAACTACCCTGGCAAGCGACTTTGTATGAAGGATCGGGTTTTCAGACTCGTTGATCATTCGATTATCTGGTCCAAAATCAATTTACATATAGATAGCTGTCATATAGCTTGAAAATGCGGCGTTAAACTTACTTTGGCAGCTGAGCTGGAACCGTCTGTCAGTTTGCTCGCTTGTGTACTCTACAAACACATATTGCCCCGTGCTCAGGATATCCTGACCCTTGGTTCCACAGAACCTCTTCAACAGCTTCCCATACCTGCTTTGACCTGGAACAAAGACTATAGCAGTAGAATCATCACGTAGGTCAAATAACATGTTTCTTATTTTGCATACCCTATAAAACTGACTCATCAGAGATACATAACACAAATCATGCTCAATACAGAGTGCATCACCCCAGGCAAACGAGTGGCTGAAAGCATGAGCAACAAGAAGACATGGTCATAAATATCCCCCGCCATGTGCAGTGTTCTGTTCCTATTTTGACAACTATTCATTCTTCCTACAAATAGCGAATCAGGCGGATACATAAGCTGTTAAATGAGAACATCTGTTCCAAATGGGGATAACGTGCACCTAGACAAGAAAGGCATAACAAGGCTCATAACTCTGTAATGAATCGTAACACGATTTCTGTTTTCAAACTCCACCAAGGCATTTCTGTACTGAAAATAATACCACATTTGGTTTCCCTATCTATAACGGTTTTTGAGAAAAACCCATCATCACGGACTACCAATGCCCTCTTGCACAAAGCGATCTTAGTGCTACTAACACAACTTCAATACCTCAGTACTAACCTTAACGATCGCCTTGTGCAAGCGGGAAAGGTACTTGATAATCCTCAGACACACACATAGGAGTTTTGTGCTGCTTTGTAAAAGTTCACAGATTCTTAATCTCTTGTATAAAAAGCACAATGCATTGGGCACTTATCCCGGAATCCTCATCTTAGACTAATGCTTAGTCTCTGAATATATAATGTTGATAGTAACAAACAAGACCATTTAAATTGAAAGGGAGCCCCAGGGAGACCAGAGATTCAGAACATGAGGAAATCTAGACTTGCTTTAGTTAGAGCTTTAGCACTGCAGAGAGGGCTTGGCAGTAGGGAAAATAATGTGGTTCAGGGACTGTGAGACAGACTATCGTCACCCCTGAATTATTAATCAAACCGTATGTTAATTACGTCAATGCCTTCTAATGTGAACCGTTATGTCAAAGATTGTGGCCTCTCTGTTGACATCATCACTTCACGGTTCTATGACAGTACCTTCATACACTTTAATGTAGGATGTTGAACACACATGCCCGAATTCCACATAGCGGAATTCAAGTTTAAGCACGTCGTTCGTGGTATTTGTGCTCAAGAGGATGCCATCTGGATACTCAACGTATCTGAAATGTCCAATGAAATATGCGTCAGGATATCTGAAATAGGTATCTCATGCTCAGAGACACGTATATGTAACTAAGAAGTGTGTGTTGTGCATTCCGCTAGTCAATAGATAGTTCTATGGGAAGTAATATATCCTTTAAACGTCGAAAAATAGTGAACAGGTGAAGTACATCTCAGCGGCGTAGAGCAGCATTCAATCACTAACTCATACATGATTGCTTTTGTACCCGCCGGCACAAGGCGATGTTAGAGACACTAATATTGTAACTTCCATACGTTTGTACTGACCTTAACATTCGCTCTGTGCAAGGCTATCTTCAGACACAATAGGAGGGGTTTTGTGTCAGTTGTTTGAAATAATTTACAATACGATACTTTAATATGATTCAAGATTACGGGTGCATTTGAATATCGGAATTAGTGAGTTCAGTTTTATGCCGCTTTTTTAGCAATATTAAAACAATATCACTGCGGAGGACGCCACAAATGGGCTTCACGCATTGTGTCAATGTGGGGAATCGAACCAGGGTCTTCGGCATGACGAGCGAACGGTTTAACCACTAGGCCACGCCACCGCCCCATATCGGAATTAACCAGTGTGAGCTGCACATGTTACAACTATGTGAAATACAGTAAATTTCGGTTATAACGAACACAAAGGGAACACTTGTTCTAGTTCGTTATAACAGTAGTTCGTTATACGCATTTCAACTCAATATACAGTGGTATATCCAAACAGCTTGTTATATCCGTCAATTCGTTATAAGCTTGTTTATAACATAGCTCATGGTATTGAAGGAATTTACTCTGATTTCAGAACTATAGATACTTACGCCAAGTAACTGGTGTAGGTATAACGCGACCGAGCGTATACTGTAGAATCATATGGTTCTGATAGACACTGTACTTGGTAGGCATTAGCGCGGACTTGGGGGATACCTGAATCAATGCAAAGGGATAGGAATCAGTGACTTCAAAGCGACAAAACTCTTTCCATGTTCATAAGAATATAAGAAACCTATACCAGAGGCACTCAGCAATATTCTAGCTAAATGGTGGCGGTCTGTAAGTAATCGAATCTGGACCAGACAATCCAGTGATTAACATCATGAGCATCGATCTGCGCAGTGGGGAACCGATGACATGAATCAACCAAGTCAGCAAGCCAAGCACGTGTTACTGAAAATCAGTTTCTGAACCGTAACGACAATATGGAGTGATAATTTCTGATAGATATTTTCATTTGAAACGTGTACTGTGTATTGGCATAATACCCTTTGACATTCCATGAAGTTTCCATGTTGATGAGAAGTATGTTGCAACATTACGAGGACTGGTAAGTCCAACTGATATCACCATCAATAAAAGCATTTCTCATTACACTGTAGATTTATTAGCATTGTGTTCAAGAGATGACACATGCCGACTCACCGCCGATGAGGTACCCGGCCAACAGAACTAGATGTAGGATGCTCATGTTTGCCACGCTGATGGCTAAACAAGAAAACAAGTCATTTGAACACAGGTATAGAAACACTCTTGTTAAAAAAATATCTGGAGGGTTGGTCAAACAAGATTGGTTAAAATTCAGAATAACGGAATGTTAATTTTGGGTCGTAACTGTGTTCAATGTGACAACATAACTACGTAGGATGGATAGTCGGTGTCCAGGTGTTTTGTTGGTTTGTATAGTCGATGTCCAGGTGTTTTGTTGGTTTGTATAGTCGGTGTCCAGGTGTTTTGTTGGTTTGTATAGTCGGTGTCCAGGTGTTTTGTTGGTTTGTATAGTAGTCGGTGTCCAGGTGTTTTGTTGGTTTGTATAGTCGGTGTCCAGGTGTTTTGTTGGTTTGTATAGTCGGTGTCCAGGTGTTTTGTTGGTTTGTATAGTCGGTGTCCAGGTGTTTTGTTGGTTTGTATAGTCGGTGTCCAGGTGTTTTGTTGGTTTGTATAGTCGGTGTCCAGGTGTTTTGTTGGTTTGTATAGTCGGTGTCCAGGTGTTTTGTTGGTTTTGTATAGTCGGTGTCGGTGTCAGGTGTGTTGGTTTGGTTTCCAGGTATAGTCGGTGTCCAGGTGTTTTGTTGGTTTGTATAGTCGGTGTCCAGGTGTTTTGTTGGTTTGTATAGTCGGTGTCCAGGTGTTTTGTTGGTTTGTATAGTCGGTGTCCAGGTGTTTTGTTGGTTTGTATAGTCGGTGTCCAGGTGTTTTGTTGGTTTGTATAGTCGGTGTCCAGGTGTTTTGTTGGTTTGTTGTTGTCCAGGTGTTTTCAGGTGTGTTGTTGGTTTGTATAGTCGGTGTCCAGGTGTTATGTTGGTTTGTTGTTTAAGGCCACACCCAGCAATAGTCCAGCTATATAACGGTGGTCTGTAAATAATTTGTAAGTTATTTGGATACAATGACATGTATCAAGCAAGTCAACAAACCTGACCATGGGATCCTGTTATTCACGTCTTACGACAATCATGGGTCGCTGGAGACCAATTCTAACTCGGATCTTCACGGGTGTCTACCCATGTATATTGTGGGATGTCTCATTATACTCACTGAAAAGTAATCTCTCCTAAGCTTAACTGACATACGACATTATCGGATTTTGAGACATGGACAGAAGGAGGATTTACAGTGATAGCGGTGTGGAGCAGGAAAGGCAGACAACTAGACACATATTGTAAGTCTCACCACACAGATTTTACTTAAAATGGATTAAATAAAATAAAAGGAGTGACACCAGTTTTAGAGACTGATCAACCTACCTTATCCGCCCGCCACTGTACCTGACCTCAGTCCAGGTTGTACAATGTCATCCCTATGGCGGTCAGCCTATTTCGCAACCTCGAACCCACGGTGTTATGGTGACCCGCATTCACCACAAGGCTGTCACTATTGACTGCACTTATACATAGGGTAGTGGTAGTGAGTAATACTGTGTGGAAATAGAAGTTGACTGACATCACTATGATGTACACATGCCACAAGACTACATACATGCATCAATACAGAAATTGACTGATCCAGTGATGTTTGTTTTATTTAATGGACACCTTTGAAATATGGGACGGCGGGTAGTAGGTCAGTCTACCCGTCCGGGTCGATATTATAAGCTGTGTCCCTGACACAAGGGGAAGCAGGGACCGACCATTTGATATTCAGGGGGAAAGTGGGGTGTTTGGATTGTTCGAAATAAGGGATCGTTCACACGGGGTGGGGATAGATGCGTGGGATGTGTGATGATGATTTTAAGGCGGGGTCACCCATTTTGTTCTGGGGAGGTAGGGGGACCATCAATTTGCTAGGGGATGGGGGTGTGATTGATCTTGTACATGACAAGCGGGTTGGGGGTCGGGGGGTTAATTTGTACATTACTTTTAGGGGGAGGTGTTTTGGTTACCTTTTTGGTGGCCACTATGACTCGTACTCAAACACGGGCCACGTACTGGGAGAAACAAAGTATTCGCCTCTTTTACAACTTCAACCACAGAGCTACCACCCATATTATTAACAAAGTACACTCACGTCGCTTAAGACATTGTTTCTGACACGTCCTGCACGTTGAAAGGAATTCCGAGTCTATCAGGAGTTATTTGGAGGGATGGTAACGAGTTCGCGAACAACGAGCTTCTCTCTCACACATTCGTGTCATTCGGACACTATCTGTCATGTGAAGACAAGCACCTTGACACAATGTCCGTACCTCCAGCTGTTGAGGACCCGTGACGGTCCGGGTTAGAATGGACCTTCAGTAACCCATGCTTGTCGTAAGAGGCGACGAACGGGATCGGGATGGGCTTGGTTGACACATGTCATCGGTTCCCATTGCGCAGATCGATGTTCATGCTATTGATCACTGGATTGTCTGCTCCAGACTCGATTATTTACAGACCGCCGCCATATAGCTGGAATATTGCTGAGTGCGGCGTATTACTAAACTCACTCACCACACTCCCAGCTGTTGATGATGTTATTATTTCTTGTTGAAAACAAAACCTTTATCTAAAGTATCTTTTTGAGTCTACTTTTCCTGATTGATCGCGCATTCGCAATTAACTATAAACCGATTCATGGAATGTGATAAGTATATGTAAAGGGTGTGTTGAGCCAGGTGTTTTCTAACCAAATATACGAGGGACCTGTACCTTCATGAGTAAGTATCAAGCATACATATGAGTTGTAGACAGAAGTCTAATTATTTTACTCTATTTGTTGACATAGGGGGTTTCAAATGATTTGGAGACGAAACTACATTTACGGTCTCTGATTTTGCTTTGATACTGATTTGATATCCACCCTGAAGCCAAAGTAGAAGGTACCTATGAAACGTTGGTTTATTTCAAATCAAGAAGTCTCCTCTGACTTTTAAGCTTTTATCAACTTGTTTTGACTATATCTTCAACCACGTTTCTCTATACTCCGAACTTTAGCTATATCCCTTGTTTTAGTGTGGAGATTGTGGAAATGCCAATTCTTGATAACAAGATGTCAACGATGTGCTGTATTATCACACTATTCCCATTTATCCTGGACACTTAGGTATCATATCTTGAATCATGTAACAAACAGAACGTACTAGAGTCATCTGAGTGTGAACATAGAATAAACCCATCATTTCACATCATACGTTATATCATCTTCTCGTGAGGAGGAATCCACGCGTGTTTTAGCGAAACAAGTTTCTACCCACCACAGATTGTCAATCAAAATCACAAATAGACGCTAACAATGCACGATTTTCCAACAACGTGGTATATTGAAGTCCCTTTATTTAGCATGGCTGTATCAACGCGTGTCCTCTGTAAAGATATCAGGCTGGGAGCCGCGTTGTGTGTGAGTTTAATGTTTACGCTGCTTTTAGCAATATTCCAGCAACATCACGGCGGGGGACACTAGAATGGGCTTCACATATTGTACCCTTCGGCGTGACGAGCCAATGCTTAAACCACTAGACTACGGATACCCCACCGCCCCAGGGAGCGGCGTAGAGATGCGATGGTACAGTACATGTGTAACCGACATGTGAACTATGTGCAGTGACGACTCCCCACATAACGACGCTCACGTTACCGAACACAGGACCCTGAACCACACACGTCAGTGAAACGTTCCAACGTCGATAACCACGCTGACGGTCGTCATTGATGTCAAGATGAGGCCGGGACCGGTCTCTGAAGAGCTCTAGGATGCGGTCCTGTGACCTGAAGCTGAGACGATGACCAGTTGGTCTTGTGTACACTGAGTGACAAAAGTGATGGATCCTGGGATGTTGTAGTGCAGGTCACCTAGATCCACCATGATACCACTACTATGCCATCAGTCGAGACGTTGTAGTGCAGGTCACCTAGATCCACCATGATACCACTACTATGCCATCAGTCGAGACGTTGTGTTCTGGGTAATGTAACAATGCCTTGCAACTCATATTTGGTGAATTACTATTTATTTAGTCTCGCCAGCAAGATTGTCAATATTCACTTCGTTATTATATACGTGGAATACTTTATCCGTTAAAACCGACATGTAAATCTAATATGCCATGGAGTACTTTTGAAAAGTACCACCCAGGCGTTTGATTTTGGGGAGAGCATATACACGGGCATATAGACAACGCAACGTATTGTGATAGATTCATGATTCTGTTCATACAATGAGCACCAAGGATATCAATGACAAAAGAAACATTCGGTGTCCTCTATCTTTTATCTAAACATTCCGACCTCACTTAAGTTTTCGTTACATTACGAAAGAAGAAAACCTTTGAAAAACTGTTTTCCTGTAGACACTTTCCAGTATGTCACGAGCATCATGGGATTATTTCCATTGTAGAGAGCTAAACACAATCCACTTTATGATGTTTGCGGAAATGGTCATTAGAATGCGGAATGATCTTGTTGACATCAGCATGATAAAATGAGTGACTTTGCTTTTACACCGCTTTTAGCAATATCACGGCGGGGGACACCAGAAATGGGCTTCACACATTGCACACATGTAGGGAATCGAACCCGGGCCCTTCGGCAAGACGAGCGAACGCTTAAACCACTAGGCTACCCCATCACCCCAGCATGATAAAAAATCCAAATACGAAGCGAGAAATAATCTAACGCTGGCCTCGTTAAATACGGTGTTGATGTGGTGGATATCAATGTACAAGCTGCATGCATGCAAAGGATTGTGCATTCTGTCTAGAGAGCAAAGTTCGATCCCTTGTAGGCGTTATGACATAATATTGTCCAAGATAATACCAATGAAATAAAAAGGACTGACTCGGAGTGAGTATAATGTTTCCGAAGATGATATGCTTGTAATACTGTGGCATGATATCTAAGTGAGCCTACGCTATAATACTAACTTAAGTCTTGCCTAATAGAAGCACAAACCATCTCGAACCCCTTTCACTCGCTATATATAGCGCTGATGACCGTAGGACGCGCGTGACATCGAGAGTACACAATGATACTGATTGTTGATGGCAACCAAAGAAACAATGTACATCGGGAGTGGCCAACCAGCGCTTCTGAATTTCGTAATATTGACGTTGAGCGTTCAAGCGCTGTATATTTTGTAGAAGTAATATACTTAGCTGTTGGACTATGATCGCGCACGAACCATGTCACGGTACATGTCGTAACCGAATATATTATAATAAGATCAAGAGATAATATCCCGTTAATGTTAGTAAACATTGATCATATGATCGATGTCACTGTCTCGCACAGCATGTTTGTAACGCCAAGATCGTAACTACATTTGTACAAAGTACACCGTTATGAGACAGGATTAGTAATGAAACAACGGGACCATTTGACTAAATACATAACAGGACACCATTAAACAGTTCAGTCTGTGGCACAAGCTCCGCCAGATCTCAACTCAAAGGAACAATTTGACAGCAATATGAACGTAGAAACGAGGAAAAAAGTATTTATTTCAAGCTCAATGATCCATGTAAGTTTCACGAGTAGGCCAATAATCCATAAAAAAAGTCTGATTGATATGCTATGCCACAAGAGTAAAGTCAGGCAGAAGCGAAGGATATTCTCAACGCCCTAAGGTTAAGGTATAGTCAGTGTAAAGTAAATAAGTTAAAACACTTATTGAGAGTCACCATTCAATCAATGTCATTCATACAGTGCTGGCATGACTATGGATTTGTCCACATTCTGTCTGTGTGTATGGTCAATGACTAAGCATAACGGTACTGTTTGATCAAACAAAGGCATGTGACGTGTATCCGCCGAAGTTGCATAACCGTCGTGTCGTGTAAACAGAAACGCGAAACTCTTGAAGGTACTGATATTGTTTACAGACCGCCGTCACAGGTCAGGAGATCTCACGGACGGAGTCACACTAACACATGCTCTTTTTATGCCAGTTATGCGAGTGGCGGGCCCTGAAGGTTACAGAAAACCAAATGTTTTCCCATAGTAACGTTATATTGTCTTAAAAAATAGCCGGGTTGTTAAAAGCCATTAAATGTATATATGCTCAGTATGGCCTTAACACCACAATACAAACACAAATTTTGCCTAGGTTAACCAGATCCTTTTCCGAGTACAGGAAGTTGAACACACCAACACCAGTTCCACACCAAATGTCACCTACTTGAAATTATCTCTACACACATACAGCATAAGTCATTGTGTTACAAAAATAACGCACTAAATTTTGATACATATGGTCCGTTTTAATAACTGGATGGATGTACATTTAAAAAAAATAAACTTCTTACACAAAATCACCCAATCACAGCTGTCAGATGATTCTGCCTGCACTACGAAGAATGTGTGTTAAACTACGGAATCTGATTTGGTGTAGCATAATCTGAAGGCCATGACTTCCTTCTCC